GGTACCTTCTCCACCTTGGGGCCAGGAAAACCGAAAGGCAATGCTCCCTAGGGGATGTGCATGGCTTTGGATGCATGGGATCCAGGGTTGAGGCCTGGAGCTGCCTGGTCTAAGTTATGAAACCCGGGCAAGTCATGTAACTTCCCCAAGTCCAGTCACTCACCCACTAAATGAGTCTGATAGTTCTCTCCCTTAGAAACAAGTAATGTCATTACTCCCATTTTTCAGAGGAAGAAACTCAGGGCCTAGGACAGTGATGGCGAACCTATGACACGCGTGTCAGAGGTGACACGCGAACTCATTTTTTTGGTTGATTTTTCTTTGTTAAATGGCATTTAAATATATAAAATAAATGTCAAAAATATAAGTCTTTGTTTTACTATGGTTTCAAATATCAAAAAATTTCTATATGTGACACGGCACCAGAGTTAAGTTAGGGTTTTTCAAAATGCTGACATGCCTAGCTCAAAAGGTTCGCCATCACTGGCCTAGGAGGTAAGTATCTTGTCTGGAGTCAAGCAGCTCATGAGTGGAAAACAGACAGTTTGGACACACTCAGTCAGACCCAGAGGCTGTTCCCTTAACCACTACACAACCCTGTCTCTTGATGAAGTGTAGCTGCATAAACCGGGCTATCTAGGCCAGTTCTCCTGGGTGTCTAATGCTGACAAAGCCCCCAAAGGACTGGGCTGAAGGGTCCTGTAAGATCACCTAGCCCTCATCTTATTTTAAGTAATTTTACAGGTATAGACTCTGAAGCCCAGAGAGGTTAAGTAACTTTTCCGGAATCACACAGCAAGTCAACCAGAATCCTGTCTTGAATTCAACTCTGACCTCCATTGTTGTTCTCCTTCTACTCTCCTGCCCTGGCCTGCAGAGGGTCATTTTGCTGAGTCTTCTTAACCCTGTTGTTTCCACATTCATACTCAGCCATTGGGCCACTGGGCCAGTGTCTCGCTGGTGCTTCCCTGGCTGATGTAAAGCAGTTTTCTGTAGCTGCATATTGACGCCTTAGACAACAGCCTCACATTTCAGAGGAGTCTGCATGTAACAAAAAAGGGCAGCAGGTGTTATTTGGGCTAAATTGACCTTGAAATTGATTTCTTTATTTTATGACTTACTGAGAGGAGATTAATACTTTTTTTTTCCCTGCAGTCTGAAACAATTTACATGGTAATAGAAGGCATAGTCAGTCAAATAAATTGCTGGAAGTGGTCGTGTTCCGAGGGAAAAAAATGCGGAGCTTACTCACATTGATTTCTTTGCCCTGGGGAGAAGCAGAGATTTTAACATCTGGGAATAGGGAGCTAAATTTTATCTCTCATTTTAAAAGCAGAGGAATGAAGAGCTTAATCTGACATTTACACAGAATTTTCTAAGTTGGGAGAAATGGGGGAGTTCCTTGCTGAAGGTTAACTGGCGTCTCCTCAGAAGGGCTCTGGGTGGTTTGATCTGGGACGGTAGGTGGGGCCCCGATGACATTTTCAGAAGCTGGCCCGGCAGGGCAAGAGAAGCTGGTGATATAAACTCATACCCAGGCTGAGGAGTCATGTGAATGGAGACCCTGCTTCCAGATTTTTGGGCCTTGCCCTTTAGCTACCCCACCCTACTCAGGGACAGGATTTGATTTCAGCAGGCATGTCACTGTGAGTAGATTCTGAGTGTGTTGGATTGGATCCTGATACTGCATCTGGGCTCAGCAGGAGAGTGCAGCGCTTGATTAGTACTGCCTGCCCTGGGAACAAAAAACGCAAGTGTGCTTGTGTGCCACATGTTTGAATTTCTGGGTGAAAACCATTAATGCCAATATTTCTGCATTCAGACCACGATGGCAGGCCTTTGTTCAAAGAAACCACAAATCATTTGCCACATTGTGTGAGCTAAATTTTTTTTTCAGAAAATGTTAAAAATGAATTCCATACCCAAAGGACTCCGCTAGTATTGCTATATGTTATTCCCTTAAATTATTTTTCTTTACAAAATAAAATAAAAATTGTAGGATAAAATAAATATTTTTCATTGAAAATACATGCCCAGAATACACAATTAAGAGTCAGAAGAGTAAAATGAGTTTCCTGACTTACCCCATCCTGCTCAGCCAGTTCCTCTCTCCAAAATCAGCCATTTTTAAAAGCATCCTAAAAAATCCATCTTCTGGACATGTCAGTGCATATGCCACATATGCAGATATTCTTAAAACAATGCGCAGATGGTGGCATGTCGTACTTACCACTCTGCATTTTACTGTCCATCCCCATCATTCCATATTGAGCTGCCGCCTTATTTTACTGAGGGTGTCTGGATGCACCTAACTTACTTAACTGGTCTCTGAATAATGGAAGTATTGCTCCCAGTATTTTGTAATTTAAAAAATTTACACATTTCAATAACTCTTTGGCATTGGTCATTTTCCATACATGCAGACATTCTATAGCAGAAATTCCAAGAAATGAAAGTGCTAGTTAAATATTATCAACTTTTCAAATGTTGGGCAATGTGTAATTCCACTATGTATAAGAATACATGTTTCTCTACACCAGTGATGGTGAACCTATGACACCTCTGACACGTGAACTCATTTTTTGGTTGATTTTTCTTTGTTAAATGGCATTTAAATATATAAAATAAATGTCAAAAATATAAGTCTTTGTTTTACTATGGTTGCAAATATCAAAAAATTTCTATATGTGACACGGCACCAGAGTTAGGGTTTTTCAAAATGCTGACACGCCGAGCTCAAAAGGTTCGCCATCACTGCTCTACACTCTTATCGCCTTGATACGATGCCTGACTTTCATCTTTGCCAGTCTCAGTAAACATAATACATTGTCTTAATTTTCATCTGTTGCTGTGGGTGAAGTAGAAGACCCTTTAATGTGCAGAGCAGACATTTGCCATCTCCCTTGTGACGTGTCTGGATGTCTCCTTGGCTCATCTTCCCCCCTTTGATTTCCATTGATGTTTTTCTTATTGACTTGGGGGAGCTTTTTATAAATGTAGGAAGTTGCTTTTTGTTCAGTAAGTTTTGTCTTACATTTTGTTTAAGGTTTTATTTTTCACGCCTAAAATATTATTCAACATTTTGAATCATTTGCTCTATGGCTTTTGGTTCATAATTAGGAAGGTCTTCATCACCACCACTCTGAGACGACGGAAATCTAAATGATTGGCTTGAATATGTTATGTCATCTAATCGATCCAGGTGTCAAGGAGTTATTTCAACTTTTTGCCTTGGAAAATGCACTCTCTGTGCTATGGTGTCTTCTGTGGTCACCTAGGGGCCATGACCTGGCTTCTAGGCTCCTCAAACTGCCTTCTTTCTCTTGGCCCCCAGACTCCTTCAGGGGCATCACACTCTTGTGGTCGGGACATTGTAGGGTGCAGTGGGGCTGGGTAGCCTGGCAGGCGTTTAGAGAGCCAGGGTACCCTGCAGGTCTTACTGGCTCCATCCCTAGAAACCCACCATGCCCAGGTCCACTGATCAGGAGGCTTTAACCAGCCCTGGTCTTGGCCTCCTGTTAATGTGAAAGATAAAACCTTTAAAGGTCATTTTAGTGAAAATAATGTCACATTTAATGCCACCTGCCACTACTCTCTGGGAGCTCACCCTAGTTCATGACAAATCCCTGAGAGGGTGATGGGTGATGGAGAGACATCATCTCTTATCTCGCCTGTTTCCCCCACCACATCTGGCTTAGAACCTCTGTGTTTCTTGCCATTTTTAAGGTAAGAAGGGGAATGGTCACAGGGGATTGAACACAGAGTTGGTGCTTTGTTCAGGATGATACAGGGACTGTGCTAACGGGGCGGGGGGGCTGATCTGGCAGGTGCCTGCACAATTACAGGGCACAAAAAGGTCTAAAAGTGGCAGGAAGGGCAGAGAACACCTTCCAAGGAAGGCAGACTGAGTCACGCCCCCTCCGTCTCCCTGTGCTCCTCCTAATTAGCACAATGAGGGACAGTCGACTGAGGAGGAGAGCTGACCTCTGGACCTTAGGCTCAGGGATGTGGGAGGGGAGGCCCTTGGCTCGAGGGAGGAAAAATATGCAGCTTAGGCCCTGCTGGCGCTTTTGAAGCAGGGCAGCGACCCAGCGCTGGATGGTGACCGACTGTGACATGCTGTGTGCTGTGCTTCATGGGGAGGCGATGGGGCATTGGAGGGAGAATATAACAACGATGAACATCCATCCTTAACCTCTTGGCCCTGCTGAAGCTCTGCTGAGTTATTTTGGCCAAGTTCTCAGCCTTTCTGTGTAAAATGAGATTGCAGTCTTCCCCCTTACATCTTTGTGAGGGTTAAAGAAGAAAATGCACAAGAGTGCTAAGCACACGGCATCACCGACCCTCCATTAACATGAGCTCTTGTTGGGGTGAACCAGCAGAAAGTCAGCCCCAAACCCAGGAACAGGCGGCTGGGTGTGGCTCTCTGAGGCTGCCCAGGTGAGGGTGGGTCCACACCGGGAGACAACCTAGATGCTGCCTAACAGAGATGTCAGGACAGCCACAGAGGCAATTTAAATTTTTCTAGTATCCACATTAAAAAGTAAAAAGAAATGGATAAAATTAATTGTAACCATATATTTTATTTTAAATATTCATAATATATTTATACATTTAAGTATAATAATACACTTTATTTTTATATATTATTAAATATTATCATTCTAACATGTAATTGATATAAAACTATTAATGAGATATTAATATTAATGAGGTATTTTACATTCCTTTTTTCCCCCATGCAGTCTTCAAAATCCAGTGTGCAATTTATACTAATAGCACATTTGAATTTAGACAAGCCGTATGTGGCTTGTAGCTGCTGTACTGGGCATTGGGCAGTGCAGGTCACGGGGGAGGGGGGAAGAGAGAGTGAATATGAATGAATGAATGAATGAATGAATGATTGTGGCTAAAGGTCTCAAGACTCTTGGGGTTATTCCAAATTGGAACTATTCTCTCACTGTGGCCACCCCCACCTCTTTGTTCTTATTTTTTGCCAGGACTACGACCCTGAAAATTCAGCCCTCCTCTCCAGTGCCAGGAACAGTCCGCAGGATTCGGTAAGTAGATGCGTTTTGCTGACCAGATTCGATTTTGAAACTGCTTTTGCACCCTGTTCAGCCTCCCTGGGCTCCGTCATCAATCACCAGGAGTGGTTTGCACCTGAAACCAATCTTGCTGGAGCAGTAACTGGGCTTGAGGGGAATCAAGGTTCCCAAGCGGTCGCAGAATTTCTATTAGGAAGCACCTGGGGCCAGAGTCAGCCCTTGTGGAACCTGATAGGAAAGCTGAGCTCCCCTTTTGGGAAAGGCCAGCTCCTTTGGGAGCAGATCTGGGGGATCAGTGACTGATGGTGGGGCTGCGGGCTCGTCTTTACTTCTTGATGTGAAGATAGACACCACGGCGCTGGGAAATGGGGAGGAAGTTTAATATCATTTGATTGTCCCTGTGGGATGCTTGCTGAGTGCTTTGGGGCCCACATCATGGCATTGGACTTGTGGTCCTAGGGCAGGTGATTGTGGGTGTCGGTGGTGTGGATGCCTCCGCCTTCTCCATCAGTCATCCAGGCACCGGTAACAGCAGCAGAGATCAGAGGTGCTCCCTGCACCACTGTTCCCCAAACACTCCCGCCAGACGCTCCTGGATGTGTATCCTCGTGGTCCGTCCCACAGGGTGGTGTTTGTGTACTGCTGGTGACCGTGCAATGATTGAAGGGCTCACGGACCTCGTGGTCCGTCCCACAGGGTGGTGTTTGTGTACTGTGTGTACTGCTGGTGACCGTGCGATGATTGAAGGGCTCACGGGCTTTTGTTGTTGTTGTTTTGTAGTGATCATTATGTATTTAGTTTTATGATTATCTTTATAGCAAGTGAAACTGGCTTTCCATTTATAGTGGGTATGAAATTTCTTTTGAAAATATTTAAGTAAAAAGGGTGAGTTGATTTAAAGAAAAAAAGACTATGGAAAAAGAGTTTGGAAATAATGATGTAGCCACGGGAGGATATTGTGATAGTGATAAGTGAATGTCTGAGAATAAATTCTTTTATCAGAAGCTGCTCGTGTGACCCTGAGTAGTGTCCATATGTGTGCTCTGCATTTGGCATGCTTCCTCTACAGTGTGCCCCATCTGTTCTGGTACTTGGCACAAACTCGACTCTCCATGAACCCATCTCTTGGCCTCTGTCTGTTCCCTAAAATGACTTTTGAGGCTGGGGTTTTATAATAAATTTCTGGATCTCCTGAAAGAAGTGTTCACCTGTGATGCCGAGAGAAGAAGGAAGAAGAGGTAAGATGATGAGAAATGACAATCATACAACCGACATTTTTTTGTCCCACTTTGAAGTTGACTAAGTGTTTCATCTCTGTTCTCATTAAGTCCCCACAATGACCCCATTAGGTAAGTGCTGTTTCTATCTTCATTTTGTGGCTGGGGAAACCCAAACTCCAGTGAAGTGAACTAGTGCGTCCAAAGTCCCACAGGCTGGACTCCCCCTCTGGCCCAGCCTGTCACTGGGGACCAGCCTTGTATCTTCACACCAATCCTGTGAAATAGTCTTCCTGTGTTGTGTGTGTGGAAATGATTTACGGAGGAAGAAAGTGT